CGTTCCTCATTGACTTTATCCTTAAGGCTGTCTTCACTTTGAAGGAATATGGACCGATCAGTAAATATAACACACCAATCAGGGACTTTTTGCAGATGTGACGGCGTCTCACACAAACATTCAACCAAAAGTGAGTTTCATTACCGAACAAAACTTTCTTGTGAAAATCATGATTGCAGGCCATCTCACTTTTGAACTCGCTCACCAAATATGCGCTGCGCTTGATGGGTAATTCGGTTTCAAATCTTACGCAAACCAGTATCAACAACAACAAAATTATTCGTAAAGTGGTTGGGCAAATCTTCAATTCTTGCGAACGATAGCGAATGGACTCATTCGGGTGTTCTGCGATACTCGGTTCCACAGCAGCAACAACGTCTTTGGTGCATACTGTATCTTTTAGAGTTAATGTGATGTGAAACCGATTTATGCTTGCTCAAGGTACTTACTCTGCTGGGTAAATATGTCGCCCATGTATTGCACACAGCGCGTGATGCGTAATTTGAGAACGTTGTTCCTAAGTTAGCTGTTCATAATGGAACGGCAAACTAAATTGAGTGTAAATCAAGGTATGGGAAGTCGAAGTGATTTTATAGCTGAAACCCTTACTTCGGAGAAAACCTTCATCAAAGTCCCAACTATCATACTGTAATGAGATTCTTGATACCCAATTTTCTCTATCGTTCGCTTCAGTGTTGCCATTTATGGCCATCTCCATAGATTATTATGTACGTCGCTACAAACTATGACATACGATTCATATAATATACGAGGTGTGCTCAGAAAATAAACTTTATTTTCTATTTTTTCAAAAAGCATTTATTTATTCATCAATAACTATCTTGTCCCCTTCAAAGTAAGCCCCCTCAGATGCAATACACTTATGCCATGGTTTTTTCCAACCCTCGAAACACTTCTGAAATGTTTTTTTTTTTTGGTATCTCCTCAATCGTAAGACGCATTTCTTTCATCGGAGTCGTAAGTTTTGTGTAAAGGAAAAAGTCAGGTGGGTCCAAGTCAGGTGGAAATGGGGGTTGAGGCCTGATAACGGTTTTGTCTTTGGCCAAAAACTAATGCACAAGCTTCGATTTGTGAGCTAATGCTAAGTCCAAGATTATTTTTTCCACAATTCTTTGCGTTTCTAACGAATTGCTTCACGCATAACTTCTAGGTAGTATTCTTTATTGACCTTATTGACCTTGTGGCAAGAATGCATGATGCACCACGCCATTCCAGTCGAGGAAAACAGTGAGCAAAACCTACACATCTGACTGAACTTTCCGACCAGGACGAGCATTGTCATTGACATCTTCTCAGCCTTCCTTAAACCGGTTATACCACAATTTAACTTGTATTCTGCATATAGCAGACTCTCCAAATGCCGCAGTCAACATTTCAACTTAAAGGATTTTCAGCCTAGCTCCTTCTTCAATTTCTGGTTCGTTGATGTTTTTTAACAAGTGGAGGGACCTACAGTTTATTCTAAGCAGCCTTCGAAGGGTCGCTGAATTTTTGTGAGGAACTTCTATTTCTTGTCGAAAATACACTCGGAGGCCTGGCACTCTCTGGCGATGGGCAACTGCAATTGGAAAAAATTAGTTTTCAATAATTTTGGTTATTGGTTGCAACCAGGACTTGAACGGCAGTACGCAATGCCAACCACTCGGCTATTGCGGTCGTGATTCATGGTCCATATAATTTAGATTTAAATATCTGCATAATTTTCATATTTCCAAGTTAAAATAATTCTTAAATCAACTTTTTTTTTTAAATTACCGCTTCCTAGTCCTAAAATCATAAACAAATAAGGGTTTGCAATATTAGAAAGTATTAACCTTTTATCATAAATCTTCCGCCAATAAAAAGAGCACTGCCACAGGCTGCTGAAATCTTCTTCTTGGTACGCCTACCAATTATGAAATTACACACGCCTACAGCGAGGCTAAACTAACACAACTAGCGCCCTACAGCTGAGAACAATGAATGGCCTAAATTATTAGCCTCCCACCTTTGGTTGTTGTGGAGAAGAAAGACAAAAAGTATGCCACCATAAAATTAACCGCAAAAATAGCCGCAAGACCGCAAGCCAGAAAAAGTACTGTAAAAGAGCCGCAAGCAAGCATACGGTGATATAAATATATACAAGTTTATAACATAACACCATTCTACAAAACCATATTACACCAACAGCCAAGCAAGTGAAAGCTTCCCAGCATTTCATACTCACGCACACACACACACACACACACACATACATCCGCAAAACAGTCTCCCATTTCCGGCTCATTTATATTAATTACCACGACAACAATTTGAGCAAACAAATAAGTGCACGACGTGCCGGAATGTTATGAGAGACCGCAGTTGGGGTACATGCGGTGTGTTGAAAGGGTCAGCGATACGCAATGACTAACGAATCCCTATAAAGTATGACTCTGTGGCGAGCTAGGTAAATAGCTAGCGGTTAAATGTGTTTTCACAGCAATCGAAGACGAAGAAAGAACAGCAAAACAATGCAAATAGACTGACAAGTGTACACGGAGTAGGGACATATACAGAAGACGAGAAGACAACATAATATGAATTTATGAAAGTAAACAGACTGCACATTGTCAGCAGCTCATCGAGTCACATATAAATTAGGGCAAAGTATGTACTCTCTAAAGGAGGCAAATAGCGCACGCTAGAAAAGAGTAGATTTCGGTCTCTCAATACCGGCACTTCGAAATTACGCTTAAGACGGCAAAAATTTGAAAAGCTTTGCTTTAGAGTTTGACTTCCTTTTATTGCTATCAACTCCGGGGAAATGGTGCTAGAATTTCGGTTTCAAAACCGATGTAAATCTAAAACTTCAGTTCAAACTATGGCTTCGGTAAGTGCATGCTTAGAGGTCAGCGAAAGGTTATATAAAGAACCAACGGGTTCTATTGATTTCACCTCACAAGCCGAGCTCCTCTACCAGTTTCTGGTATGTGTCTTTATGTTTTTAATCAAATGAAGGGTCCAACAGTTTATTCTAAGCTAACTCCGAAGGATTGTTAGGTGTTTATGAAGCGCTTTTTAATTCTTATCAAAAATTACACGTAGGTATTGACATTCCCCTGCTGAGAGGCGACCGCAATAAAAAAATAATAATTATTAACTTATGATCTGTTACACTACTAGCCTCTCGGCTAATGAAGCCGCTGAAAGAGTACTAGAACAGCACACAACAGATATTTAAGAAGAAACTCACCTTCAGTCATATCTGACTACTACAAAAACAGATGGCTCATCAACTTCTTAAAGAGGTCACCGGCTTCAGTGAACTCAACTCCAAAGACACTATTAGATGGTAGTTATAATATTCACAAGGAACGGAAAAAAATGCTCCAACAATCTTACTCTAAACATTAGCCGAGGGCAAGGGGCTAGCATAGCATACTGCCAAACCGAAGATCATGGTTCGAGTCCTGTTTCAATCAACATCGCAGGGAATGTCAAGCCCTCCGAGTATATCTCTATCATGAAATAAAAGCTCCTCTTTAAAATTCAAAGGCGTCAGACCAACTATGTTGGGTCTTAGTTTTCCTCGACATCATTTAACTGCTCCAAGCTCAGTCACATTTCAGTACTCTTCTTTACCAAGCATTCATAGTGATACTCTGGTGAAGCAGCTCAAGGATTGTAGGTTGGTGATTAGACTTATTAAGATCATAGCGTATTTAATGGCTCATACGTGGTATTGGACAGTTAGTCTTTGAGGTATCGTCAGCCAAGTGATATAGTGGAAAGTGAAATATGGAAATCTGTTGCGACTATAATGAATAAGATGTCATTAGCTTACACAACTCTTGTCCGAGAAAATTTATGATGTGCAAGTGGCTCAGTTAATTTAAATAATGCAGATAATTGCTGAAAGACAACCCGTGATTGGGCAAGATCATTGTGATAATCTCACGCCAGTACTTATTCAAAAAGTCCTAAAAATTGTCCTCGAAGATCCTCAATGAAAGTGGAAACGGTTCGCAGAAATGCACGATCATCTTGTCTAAAGCCGGCGCAAGATGGGTGCCGATAATTGTTATGCCAACGCAAAAGCAATGGCACATAAGGTATTCACTTGTATTTTAGACCTCTCTAATGAAGAGAAGGATAGCATATTAAGCCAAAATGTTACTGGAGATGAAACTTGAGTTCACTATTGTGAACTCTAGTCGAAACAAGACTCCATGCAGTAGTATAAAAAGGGTATAACCTGTCGGAAGAAATTTAAGATCTCACAGACAGCTGGGAAACTCATGGAACTCTGATATATTATTAATTAACCATAAAGATAGAAAATACTTCATTGCAATGTTAGAGCGACTAAATGAAGCCGTCAAAGGGAAAAAGGAATTTTGATGAAATTCTGCATGAAAACGAACTCTCCACAAGAGCCGCTTAGCTCTGGCTGCCCTGCAAAAGGTGGGCTTCGATAATTTTAATCACTGACCCTACACTGCACACCTGAATATTACTTGTTTCCAAAAATTAAGTAAGAACTGAGGGTAAAAAATGTATCATCGATGGTGACATCGAGGAGATAATTTTGGCGTTTCTTAAGAATATAAAGAAAACAATTAATTAAAGGATCTGAAAACTGTATCCGGCTTTTGGGTGATTAAATTGAAAAGGAAAAAATTTTTTTTTTTATTTACACCCCATATACCCCATACCGCGAACATAAAAACCTCCCCCTTCGTATATTTTTGACTTTATTAACCTCGATCCGAACAAACTTCGGTTCCGGTAAGCAATTCCTCGTAGCGTCCCTAGTATGACGAGCCGTCACGAGCTAATAATCTTGAACATTTATAATGTTGCCCATTGCCAAGTGTGGCAGACTTGTGGGTGCATGCGTATGTGTATGTGTATGTGTATCTGTATGTGTAAAAGTGTTTATGCTCGCGTCTATTTTCACGCTTATAACCGCGCTTCAAGGCAGACAAAATGTTAATTACCATTATAAATTCTTACAGACAATTTTCAACGACAGCAGGAGTAAGGCAAACAGATCCAACAACACCAACAAATATAACAACTTGAAGCATCAACATTAATCCTTGACACAAACGTAAGCAAATAAACACCACCCACACATACACACATCAACCGCAGGCGAAACAAAAGCAAAACGAAAAGAAGAAAACAAGTAATAATAAAATAACATCGCAGCTATTCCAACAACAAAGCCATACAAATGCAACGTGACGCTTCTGTTTGCTTCAGCTATAGCCTGACTACAACGACTATCCTGCTGCTGGGACACTGCTGGTATGCGTACGCATATGTCGCCGCAGCAGCAGCCGGTGGAGCTAGAGCTGGAGCTGACATTGTCTCGGACTCGAACGCACTTGGCGCTGGCCTAGGCACTGGCACAGGCACGAAGGCAGCTCTAGCCAACAAGCATATGGCAGAATTAATGGCCGCAACATATCCGGAGAGGACAGCTGCCGCAGCGACGGGCTACATGAGCGATATGACCGGAAGTATTGCATTGCAGCCACCGCCGCAATTGGTGAATGAGTTTAATGGACGCGCAGCGGTCTACGATCCGGGTGATGGTAAGTAAAATTGTGTCGAAATAGACTAGAAAGATAGTAACAGTCGTAGTAAGTGCGTTAGGGGTTTCGACGGAGACTAAGTACCAATGTGAGAAATCTTAAAATCTACGAAGAACCAATCGATCGATGCCAAAAAAGCTTAGAACAAAAATGAAGCCCGTCTCTTTGATTTACAGAAATATGAATATCTTCTTTAGTGGTGATTATAGTCAGTAGTTTTAAATAGTCTTAAGTTCAGGCTCACATTACTTCGTAGATATATCTTTACTGGTTAGAAACTGACTCAAAATGTGTCCAAAAATTTGCCATTTTAAATAAGCCAAAGGCAGTTGGGCCTATAACTAACTTCCTGTGGACTATGCACTAAGCAAGGGGAGACATTTTGTGCTACGACATGGGTATCGTCTTTAAAAACTATGTAAGTGCCAAGCTTTCAGTCGCTTGAAGCGACATTATCTCTTTCCACGATACCACGAGCGGCCTTCTAACGGTAATGGGCAAGTACTCGTTTAAATGAACCTAACCTAAAGAATGAAAGAAAATTATAAAATTAAGAGAGAGTTTTTCGATTACAAACAGTAAGGTTAAGCCGTGGTCAGGTCTTAAATCTCTTCATTCAACTAATCAACCAATCTCCTCAGACAAAGAGACATTATAAAAATAATTTTATTCGTTCGCCTTAAAACCAAGAGCAAAAAAGCTTTTCAAAATATCTCAGTAGAACAGAATCTTAGAAATAAAGTAAACCCTGAACGGTTTAAAAAGCTGCCTCCTTTTTTGGAGATCAGGTTTTCAATGACCAAGATTCAAGCTTTTTTTATAAGAGTTTGTCATCATAATTAATGATTTATGGCAAGTTACGGCCGCGGCTATCCCAAGCTAAAAGGATCAATTTTCGGTCAATCGTCTTTGACTTATCTGCATAGACAAGCGACTTCACAGTCCAAGACGCCAAATAAAGCGCTCACCAAACTTTCCTTCAATAAATTGATTGTTTCATTGGCTACAAGTCTTGGTCCTATAGCGTGCCCCATTGACTGCAACATTATGGCCGATTCTAGTTCTGAAGAAATATGAACCAATGTCTCATTCAATCTAAAGTGAATTTTATCGCTGAAAAGAATTTTCTTCGTGATCGGTGGCCATATAGGTTTTGTGTTTGATGGTCGTTCGGTTTGAATTCTTGAACGAGTTGAATTTGTATACTCGCAAACTAAGATCCTTCCGTGGAATCTTCCATAAAGTGGATAAGCTCAGCTGCAATTGTTGCGCGCTATGACGGATGGACTCATTCGGGTCTTCTACTGCAGCACAGCAGCGTTAGTGTGGTCGGTGCATACCATTTGAACCGAATCAATGTTTTGGTAATGAATTTGCCAAAACAAACTGCGTATAAATCAAGTAACAACTGCCAAAGGAAAGGGACCAACTTCGGAAAAAGTATTGCCTCATTGAAAACCACAAGTCCAAAAAAGACACCCTTTATTCACCAATATGCCTATGCAGGGAAGAACACTTGCGTAGAGCAGCACTAACAATAGAAAAAGTAAAATCCAGCAGGTAAGCGAACAGGCCGAAATGACCTCGGCAAGTCTGATAGCAGCGACTACACAACATAAACTTTATGCAACATTAATTTAATCTAAGGTAACAAAACATAATTAGTGGCAGCAAAAAGGTGCGATTTTTTCACTTGTAGAATTTTCTCTTTGCTTATTTTGTGTATATATGCTTCATTAAAATTTTACTAAGAAGTTTCGTTAAAATGCCAATGCAAACGATGAAGCTCATTTAATTGACCGGCGCAGGATAGAAACTAAAAGACGTCAATAGATATGTGCGGTTGATGAATAAACACTAAAAGTCTTTTTAGATATTAGATTAAATTAGCTGTATTTTATGGCTGCCGCAGCCAAGTGGGTGTCCAAATCAAAATGCCAAATGCGGTCCTCTATCGACAGGAGTTTCGAGCTTTCCTGGGTTATCAGTGTCGGCAGTGATGTGAGAAACCGAAAACAAACTAGACATATTCTTTTCTCGGCTCTCTTAGTATTATTTTCTATGGCATTAAGTAGATTGAATAAACCGTCTCGTTCAGTATAGATCGGCTTGGATGGTGTTACTCAACGTCAGCACACATAGTTGCAAAATTTTTCAAGCGATACCAAACTCAGACATAGCGTCATAAAGGCAGCTCCTTTTTGTGTAATAGAAGTATTGCTCTAAGATCGACCAAGAACTGATGTAGGCTTATTGCTTTCTCATGTGTCTTTTGCAGTATATGGTTCGTGGTGAATATCTTGTTAATGGTAAATTTGACAAATCTGAAGCCACACTGAGAAAGACAGACAAATGGGCTTTAGACTTTTACACAATATGTCCGATATCACCTTAATTCCGGTATTTAGAAAGCAGATCCCGCGACATATGACATAGACTGTGCAGTCATAATTTTTGGGAACTGTGCAGAGCCATGTCTGGTTATCTTTCATCCAAACATATACTGCAAGGAATATGGTGTATGCACTTTGTTAGTCCTTAGTCGCCTGGCTTGAAAGCTCAGCCAATAGTTCATCGTCTCTTCAAACTTGCGATCACTTTTCGAATTATATCAATAGTCGGTTTATGCTACGTCGGTTCTCCCGCCATTAATAGATTTGAGATACCGTTTCACAGTTCTCTTATATCGAAAGCAGTTGTATAAGTCGAATAGAAAATCGTTCGTCTTTTTTGTTTGGGTTTTGTGATTTCAGGTTTTCGGTTCCTTGTCTCTGTTGACGGGCGTACTTTGAAACGTAAAGTGGATAAAGAGTATCTTCGCTGCAACAAGATAGCGATCCGAGTCAATGTTTTATTCGATACGTGTGAACGCCTAGAACACTGGAGACATGTTTGATCCGACGGCAGTTATGATCTGGTATTACAACCAAACAGATTATGAGCCACAGCCTCAGCTCGTTTCGTCGTCGCCAAGCACAATCGTGTTGCAGGCAGCACTCAGAGGCTCATTCTCTGCGCTCATAGTTGGTTACATCACTTCTATTCCGTCGGAGCATAGACATAAACTCATTCAAAACTAGTGATTGAACTTCAATGGTGTGGGAAGGAAGAGTAAATTTTAGTGGCAGTCATTGTGTGGGCCTGAAATATGAACTCAATAAAATAATTTATAAATACAATTTTTTGAAGAGGAAGAAAATTGTGAGTGTATAAGAGCTAAGAGTGCTTATAAAATTTTTATATTTTATTCAAAATACCAGTGCCCACATATGCTCAGTGTGTAAATAATATGTAGATCTCCGGCCGCATAATAAAGTCTCATACTAGTTGAAGCAATTGACCCTTAATTTATTTATTGAAAGGCAAAAGTGCTTGTGGTTAAGCTTTCAGAAGCAACCAAAACCATTTTGTATAATTCTATTGTTAAATCAAGTGCGAAAGGTTTCAATAAATTATTCATCCTAAAAATTCAATAAAATACTTCAAGTTCTATAATTTCTCCTGTAGTACTTCTCTCAATTTATTTCACATATTATGCAAAGTCAATGATGTGAAAATAATTCTTTTTATTTTATTTTTGTGAAGTGCAGGACACTTGTAACTTGTTATATAAATAAATAACATAAATATCACTCATACGCCTTGTTTGACACAAAAATTATCTTTGTTTAAAAGAAACGCTTTAAGGGTCATATTTGCTCAAAAAAAAATTAAAAATCATCACAAATCAAAATAAAAACTTTTGTTATTGCTTCTAAGTCTTTGCATAATTTTTTGCTTTTCCTTTTCGCTTTTTATGACATTCTGGTAAATCTCCCCCTCATTATTTGCGCATGGTACATAATTTCATTAAGTAACTGAATAATTTATGAGCCAATGATGCAATTATTATTACTTCATCCACGCAGAAGTAAATTAGACGTAAGAAACGCGTTAATGCCTTGAAGGGCTTCCGCCTAACCAACCGTATCAACACATACAGACGCTAGCGAAAATTCAAGAAACATTCACTTAGGAAGGATATGCTAAAAAGAAGTGTATAAAAATAACATCAGGCAAGGGAATTAGCAGTAGCTTGCAGTAAGGTAGGCGATAGGCAGTTGCTTTTTGTACCAAGCTTTAAAAGAAATCATTTTTTAAATCTGTGCATGTACTAACTCCTTCCAGAATTTTTGAAATTTGAAATAACAATTTCAGTAAACTCAATTTATATTTGCACAATAACGATATTAATGAATTTTACCACCACTTTCACTTGTCTTGTCCGATTTTTTCATTAAACTATTGTCAAAATAAATTCATTCTGCCTGCTACACATACATATATAAAAGAATTTTTTACGAAACGACCAACCGATTTTTCGTGCTTTTAAGTAACAGAAAATTAATAAAAATATAGTAAAAATAGCGAAAGTTCTGAAAAACCTCCGCTAACTGCACTGCGTCAGAATCATCGATGGATTACTGCGTTTGACACATAAACAAGCAAAGAAAAGGAAAATATCAATGTACACAACTGAAAGTGTACATAAAATGCATGTACATATGTGTTAAACTAAAATTTGCTCATACCGATATATGTGCCTACAGGCATTTATATAAATTGCAACGGTAGCGGACGCACGACACAAAGAATATTCACATCTTTGATTGCATTTGCAGACTTAACGTTTTTATTTTCTATTCTATTTAATTTTATTTTATTTTATTTAATTTTATTTAATTTAATTTAATTTAATTCTATTTTATTTTATTTTATTTTATTGTATTTTATCTTATTTTATTTTATTTTATTTTATTTTATTTTATTTTATTTTATTTTATTTTATTTTATTTTATTTTATTGTATTTAATATTTTTTTAATTTGTTTATTTTAATTTAAACTATTTTAATTGAGGTGTCCCTATGTCTTCATTTGTTTGTATTAGAGTTTCCTTTTAAATAAATGTATTTTTAGCGTCAATCAACAGAAATATAGCCGCAGGGCGAAAATCAACGAATTTTAATTTCCGCTTCATCGCAGCGAAAAATTTCGAACTTCTATCCAGCCGCACTGTCTCTGCATTCATATTTTATACTCCTACGTATGTAGACTTGTATTTGCGCTTGTTTTCGCTAAATGCCAACTGGCCGTGAACAGAGTGTCAGCATGAGCTCAGCTAGCTACACAGTTGTGCTCTTTAGCATCCATTGTGTTGAAACCTTGAATACATTAAGCCTTCCCATGGTCATATCATGGTCACTGATTGACCACTAAATGACAGCATAATAGCCACAGCAGACAAACTGGAATGAAATAGGAGAGTCAGTGAAGGATTATTTACCTTTAAGAAATATATAAATATTTATGTACGGATGAGACGACGTGTTTATTAAAGAATTTCCATTTATTTGTATAAAGCTGATAAATATAATAATAAAATATTTTCACTGCTAAATGAGCGTGACTCATATATAATACAGAGCTCCAGAAGCAATGTGCTTGTATCTTAAGCAAATCTTTTTGTGGTAAACATTTCTTTTTCAATGGCTTTATATAGAACCATTTTACCTTCAAATTGTTCTATTCCCTTTAAGCAAGGAAGCACCTTCTTTTTGTTTAAGAGCCTTCGACATAATTTTTCTAATGAGCCTTAAAAAATTTGATTTTGCGCCACTGTACGTTGCCATTGGACTTTACGTCGGACTAAACTCCAAGTTCTCCTAATTGCAGCAAGGCGTACTTTTTCAAAAAAAAAACAATTTTTTTTTTGCAATTACCCTCATCAAATTGCATAAAAAGTTTAAAAGTTAAGTTAAGTTAAGTCACACAACTTCTCTTCCCCCTCATTAGTTAAAATCTATCTCTCTCATTTTCTCTCCATCGCCCACACAGAGTTGCTACGCGCATTAAACGCCGAAACAGCCGCCAATGGACAAGAGCTCGGTACCCTACCCGAAGAACCTGATTACGCTGACACCGTGTTTAACGAACTGGAAATAGCAAACAAATATGAAATGTTACATAAATTGGAGAATGATTTGCGTGAGGAACAGGAAATTGTTACTAAATCAGCGCTGTTAATGAAAATGCTTGAAGATCCGAACTTACAAACGCTGCCGGTAATTTACGTAGAAGAGGAAGAGGACGATGGAGGACTGTCAGGCGAGGACAATATTTTGAATAATAGCAATTTGGCATACGGTTTGGGTGGTGGTGTGGCTAAGCGTTCCCGCTACTATCACCGTTATCCATGGAAGCGGCACAACAGGAATCGAAGGTGGGGGATATTTATTGGTGTTTTTTGCATTTTTATAATTTTAAATTTTTATTTATTGTACACACGCTTATGCGTAATATGAAATTTTATTATTAATTTATTTTTATTTAAAATTATGTTTTTTTTCCTTTTTCCTTTATCTGCTTTCGCATTTTACAGCACTTATGAGCCGGAATTACGTTATGCTTGTACGCCGTCGAAAGAGGATGTCTTCAAGCTATTGATGAACCTACATGAGAACCGTAAGGGTAATCATAGTAAAACCGTTAACTTTTGCAATCGCAAGCGACCAGCCAAGGCAATTTTCACAAATATACGTTTTCTGGGTTAAGGTTGGAGCGGAGCGTGCTCTAAACGGAATTTTAAACGAATATACAAGGCCACGGCAATATGCATAAACAAATATTTTAAATGTCTGATGAAAGAATTTGAAGAAGTAAGGAAAAAGATATGAAAGACATGGAAGCAATTAAAAAAAAAAAACTTAATCAAATCTAATAAAGAACCTCCTAACAGCAGCATATATGTATAATTGTTGCAGTATTATGTTCAAATAGGCGATTTAAACGACACAATTAAGGTGATGGCTGTTCACACACACGCAATATAGCTGCTAAACTGTGACAGTTCGACTAACTGTTCGACTGTTAAGGAAAACTTAAGTGCTTGATTTAGCTTTCTTTGCAGTGCAAATATAGTTAATATTAATTAATTATGCATATTTTTCCACTTGATATTTAGAAATTTAATGCTTTATCATGGCTGAGCTTTTCTTGTCGAATTTGTGAGGAATTCTGCACCTTTTTGTCTTAATAAAATTAAAAAAAAAAAATAATGCCTCATAATGGCTGCGCTTTTCTTCTCGAATTTGTATGGAATCCAGCACCTTTCCGTCTTCATTAAATTAATTGACAATTAACAGCTTTTTTTTTTGATCGTTTTTATGATAAACTAAAGCACATTTGTATAATTAAATACTAATTGGCAATTAAACTATTTATTGACTACAAAAAAAAAAAAAAAAGAAATATAAGAAAATAAGTGAACTGTCTTAATTGTCATTCAATTACCTGTTTGAACATACTAGATTAAATGCCAAAAAAAGCACTGTAAAATATTAATAAAAAATCTATGTGGAGAATCGCAAGGACTGCAGGCCCTTTAAGCAGCTAATATTGTATTTGTAGAATTGAAATTACTTACCTATATTTTCACGCTAAAGCAGTATTTTTATCGATTAATCCTCAAGAGGCAGCTATTGTATAACAGTGTTAACATAAAAAAAACTATAATAATATTTTATTCAATCATTATAAATATGTATTACTTACTACCAAAAACATAAAATTTAGAAAAATAATTTTTGAAACATATTCAGTATACAAGTATGTAGTATATAATTTTTCGAAATTTTAACGGTTATAAATTAAAAATGGGTTATCAACCTACATGAATACAACAAAAAAAAACCATATATTAAAAAATAATAATTAATGCAAATTGTACATATGTATGTATGTGTTTAAAATTAAGCAAATGCAGTTTTATCACACATAGAGTAAATAAAGAAAAAAAAAAAACAAATGAATAAATTTAAAAATAAATTATTTAAAAATAGTTCTGTCATCACAATCTTTTTTCTTTTAACCCTACCAAGGCAAAAAAACTCTTTACGCATATTGCTAATTTGAAACTTACTCACATATACACCTACACATTTCCATAACAATAGAAAAATGCTAATCTATTAATATAAATGTAAATAAAGTTACACTAAAAGGTTTAATGAAAATTAAAAATATAAAATCGAATACAGCAAAACAATAGCAGTTTAATTTGAAATTTAAATTCAATAACTGTACATAACATAAATATGGGTATTCAGTAAAAATACCACATACATGTAAAGGGTGATTTTTTAAGACCTACAGGAAAGTTTTTCAAAAAAAAACACAGCATGAAATCTTTATATGGACCTTTCTAAATAATTTAATGTTCGAAGATTATTTCGTGCAAATGTTGACCGTGACTGCGCCTCAAACAGTCCATCCGCCTTGTCCATACTTTTTCCAACATTTCGGCTGGTATCGCACGTATAAATGATTCAATGTTGCTCCCCATTGCCTCAATTGAAGCGGGTTTGTCTGTATAGACATTAGATTTAACGTAGCCCCACAAAAAGTAGTCTAAGGCGATAAATCGCACGATCTAGGCGGCCAATTGACCGGTCACGAACGTGAAATAAAATATTCACCGAACTCGCCTCTCAATTAGTCCATTGTTACGCGGACTGTGTGGCATGTGGCACCGTCTTGTTGAAACCACATGTCATGCTAGTCAAGCTCTTGCATTTTGGGCAAAAGGAAAGTTTGATATCATCTCATGGTAGCGCTCACCATTTACAGTTACTTTACGATTCGCATCATCCTTGAAGAAATGCGGTCCAATGATGGCCATAAACCGCACCAAACTGTGTGTTTCTCTGGATGCTTTGGTAGCTCTTGCAATGCGTTTGGTCTGATCTTCGCCTTAATCTCGACAATTCTGCTTATTTACCCACCTATTAAGCCAAAAATGAGCTCTGTTGCCAAAAAGATAAAAAAAAATCACCCTTTATGCAACTAGTTCATACATTTTCTTAATATAAACTTATTAGTCGCACCTTTTTTTTTTATTAATTCTACGCGCATCGTACGCATTTCCATTCCCATTTGGTACACACACATGTATACATACATATATTATATGTACGAGTAATACATAATTTTGTATATGTAAGAGTTATACTACTCAACAACCCACTAAATATCCACTCTTCCAGCAAGAAATATTAAGGAAAAAAATACATATGAACATTACAGTTCTTCCAAGGCATGAGTTGTTCCTTTAAATGAAAGAAAAACGAAAATAAATAAAATATTACATTATGCAAATATATCTATATGTACATAGTCACGTTCGTATTTAAATGCAACAAACTGCACATACATACATACATATACTTCTATTATAAGAAATCTATTCTAGTAATCGGCACGTGAAGCGTAAACATTTTATGTGTGTATATGTATATGTAATGATTTAACGTTATGTAAGGCATAATAATATATACATATGTATACACATATACATATTTAATGAAATCTTAATAATAAAAATAAATAGGGCTAATGACTCTTATTAGTCCGTTGAAACGAAATGGTTTCGAATTTTTCATCTCGAGGAAAGATTTTGATTATTTCCCTAGTAAGTACTTATTTTAGGTAAATCCAGCGGGAGGATGCGAGCACCATCGCCACACCGAACCAATTACTGAATTATGGTTTCACTTGCTAGCAAAAACCGAGTGATTAGTAGCATGGCGTACTGACCTTCTGAAGTCATAAGTTCAAATCTTAATCTGAAAAATATCCAAAATATATAGAAAATTAATTTTTTCTTATCGCTGTCGCTGCGCACTAGGGCATATCAGCCTTCCGAGACTTGAATTCCATATCGACTGTGGTTGCACTATGTAAAGATGTGATTAAAGGACTGTCTGGGAAAAACAGAACACACATCGAGTTGTATCCTCTCAGAGCATGACGTGATTATGAACTTTATGTTGAAGCAGACATAAAATAAAAATCGCCAATACTACTAGTGCAAAAGAGCCTGGACTTCAGTCGCCTACTTCAGTAGGCAAAGCCCTCTGGTTTTTCGACATCACGTGCCTTTAATCTTAGTCTGGTGGAGGACAGCATGTGCAGGTAATGTAGTGAATGTATGGTGACAGTGGAACAAGTAATCTGTAAGTATCCAACATTTGACGGACAAAAGTTATGCTTACTAGGTGCAGGACCTTCAGTCAGCAATGAGCAACTGGTCCAATCGACTGCTTATATTTGCGAAGAAATAACCAATCAATGTTCTTCATATTACGTTTTGCTCATATGTAGTGAATCTGGTAGCACAATCTAAACAAATCTAATCAGATGCACCTAAGACCTTGTTTAGAAGAACACGTAAGTATGGCAAGTTTTTGACTGCCATACAATGGCCAGAAGCGATTGTCTTACTCGTACATATGATTTGAGCAGCACAAGGCTTTCGGTCTCACACCAAATATCATCTGGGTAGTAAGCAAAAATTCGTTTAGAGCCGAGCTAAAGAAAACGTGGTTGGACTTGGACCCTATAAAAATCTTGTCGAACAAAATCAAATAAAAATTACAAAAAGGACTCGGAGGAGAGCCCCTTTTCATTTTTAACCCCTGCAAACATTTTAAGGAGCACGATTTAAGGTATACACCTTGAGTTCCGTGCTAAGGGCCGATCTCAGTTACGGAAATGAATTTAGGATGTAGGTTGGAGTAGGACTCGAAACCTGGCCTTCCTAATAGCAGTTCACAATGCCTACTTGTCTATAGCGGCCGCCAATAAAATTATGCGTTTACAAGGTGTGCTCAAAATATAGCGCGAATGATGTGTTTTTTCAAAAATTATTTATTTATTCATGAATATCTATTTTGTCCCCTTCAAAGTAATCCCCATGAGATATTATACACTTGTGCCAACGGTTTTTCCAATCTTCGAAGCACTTCAAAAAATCATTTTTTTTATCTTGTTCAGTTCCTCCTTCGATGCCGTCCTTATCTCGTCAATCATAGCGTTACGTCGTCCTTTCATGGGCCTCTTCAGTTTAGGGAACAAGAAAAAGTCACAGGGGCCAGATCTGGGGAATACGGTGGCTACGGCATCATAAGTGTGTTGTTTTTGGCCAAAGAGTCGCGCACAAGCAACGATGTGTGAGCAGGGGCGTTATCTGGGTGCAAAAGCCAATTTTTGTTCTTCCACAGACAGATTGCTTTGAGCAAATTGCGCATAACTTGCAGGTAATGTTCTTTATTGACCGTTCTACCGTGTGGCAATACACTTTTCTCCACTTCATTAATTTTTTCGTCTGTTGTTGAAGTACTCGGGCATCCGGCACGCTCTTCTTTCTTCACATCTTCTCGGCCTTCTGAGAACATTTTGCACCACCGATAAACATTGATTCGGTCCAAGGTAGCTTCTCCGTATGCCACAGTCAACATTCGGAATGCATCCGCGCACTTAATTTTGTTTTTCACACAAAATTTGATACAAGTTCTTTGACCCCTTTTTTTAAATAGGTAAAAATCGAAGACCATCCAAAACACGTGCAAGCAAAGCAGCTGTCAACAATAAAGTGATCATTCAAAATGGCCGAGCTTGTCGGCATAAGTGACAGACGTGAGTACCAACGTAACGCCACATAAAAATCGAAATTCGATTATACGTAACTCGCGAAAATTCAAAATTCGCGATACTTTTTGAACACACCTCGTATACAATAAACAAGTCCGCTTGGTGGACCTTGATTGGGGCGCCCTATGGCAATATGGTATTTAAAGAACTCAGACGTCGAATTGCCAGAAGATTCAAGTATTAATAATCTTACCAATATTTGTAATCGTTTTCTAATGATGCCAGATTCAGTTAAAAAATATTTGTGATATAAGTTGCAGATTGAAGTGAAGCATTTGTTAATGAAGATAAGAAAATATTAAGTGCTCGTTTTCAAGATTTATCTTTAGGCAGTCTCTGTGCCTTTTATGAATATGTGCAATATAATTTTTGACGATCTTAACCTCAAATTTCATATGTAAGAATGATATATAATGTAGTCTTCCGATTCCAATGGTTTTTATTATAAAAACTAATTTTAAGTAATCTTATCTTATGGTAATATTATATATATCAAATTTAATGCTTTTATATATTTTTGGTGGATCTATAACCCAAAATCTAAAGAACGGTTATAAATATTACTTACTTACTTACTTTACTGGCGTAGACACCGCTTACACGATTATGGCCGATTTAATAACATAGCGCAAGTCATTTCTTATTTCTGCTAATTGGAAATACCAAGTACAGCCAGGACTTTCTCTTCCTGGTCTTTTCGATGGAGCGGTGGTCTTCCCCTTCCTCTGCTTCCACCGACGGGTACTGCATCAAAAACTTTCAGAGCTGGAGTATTCGCATTCACCCGGACAACATGTCCTAGCCAGCCTAGCCGCTGTTTCTTGATTCGCTGAACTGTATCAATGTCGCCGTATAACTCGTACAGCTCATAGTTCCATCGTCTGCGATATGTGCCCTTGCCAACGCGCAAAGCCCCATAAATCTTACGTAAAACCTTTCGCTCGAAAACTCCAAACTCCGACTAATCAGATGTTGTCATCGTCCATACTTCCGCATCGTATAGTAGGACGGGAACGATGAGGGACTTGTAGAGTTTGATTTTCGTTCGTCGGGAGAGGACTTTACTTTTCAATTGTCCAAAGTAGCATCTGTTGGCAAGAGTGTTTCTGCGTGGGATTTCAAGACTGACGTAATTATTGTTGTTAATGCTGGTTCCTAGATAGACGAAATTATCTACGACTTCAAAGTTATGACTGTCAACAGTGATGTGGGAGCCAAGTCACGAATGCGATGACTGTTTATTGGATTGACGTTCACTACCAGACCTATTCGCTTCGCTTCTCTATCAAACCTGCAGAAAGCAGAACTAATTACACGATTATTGAGGCCGATAATGTCAATATCATCGGCGTACTCCAGTAGTTGTAGACTCTTATAGTGCAGAAGATTGTACCTTTTCTCAGCTCTGCAGCTCTTCTTATTCTCTCCAGCATCAAAATCATGGACTCCATGGATCATGGACATCATGGACTTTGCAAAGTATAAAATTGTGAACCTCATTCAGTTGGAAAATCTTTAATATTTAAATTTTCTTTCGAATAAACAGATTTTTTTTAGAAATCTTAATTTCCGGCTGAATGGTGCCAATCCCAGGTAGAGCAACAATAAAATTGTTCGTTCAATTTTTATTCGATTGCCTGAACAATTTATATCAAATGTCTAAATTTGAAGAAAGTAGTGTGCGCCGCGCAAGAAGTTTGATGGATGAGACAAGGACAAAAGAAGGAGTATCCTTGCGAAACCTGGTACAACGGCTATTTAAAGGAGTGCCAATTTTGTGTTGATTTAAGGCGGGACAACTAAATCTGAGGGATGAACGTAGAGTTGTGGGCATTGGATTTTTATTTAACTCTATCGCCTACTATGATGTGAAGATACCTTCAATAAGAATAGTCCACATTATCATGACAATGGAATATGCTATGCACCCACCTTTGATGAAGCTCGGACGATCGGGCGTGAGCAAAACTCGCTAAGCGACTTAATACTAAAGAAAATAAATAGTGAAGGTACAATCTACTATAAGACAGTACAATTGCTGACATATGCCGATGATATTGAAAAGTTTTGGAGGAAATTGTACGTTAACGCCCCTGCTCACACATCGTTGCTTGTGCGCGACTACAACAACAACAACAACAACACACTAATGGTTCCGCAGCCACCGTATTCCCCAGATCTGGCCCCCTGTGACTTTTTCTTGTTCCCTAAACTGAAGAGGCTTATGAAAGGACGACGTTACGCTACGATTGACGAGATAAAGACGGTATCGTAGGAGGAACTGAACAAGATAAAAAAAATGATTTTTTGAAGTGCTTCGAAGATTGGAAAAACCGTTGGCACAAGTGTATAATATCTCATGGGGATTACTTTGAAGGGGACAAAATAGATATTCATGAATAAATAAATAATTTTTGAAAAACACAAAGTTCGCGATATTTCTTGAACACACCTCGTATGATTCTCTCCATATCTGCAACAGCTAATAACCCAAACTATGGAAAAATAAATGTACACGATATATTATTGCATATCGGCATTAATAAAATTTGCGCTTTATAACTGCTGAAGCGATTTTCGGCTTACCTACTCCACCAATTTATACCAGGCCACCCTCCTCAAAAGGCTGGGCAGCGGTACCTTACCAATTAAGGGACCAGACGTTGCAGATCCATGCCTTTTAATCATAGTAGTTAATATTTTTGAGGAGTCATCAGCATAAGGGGTGTGTATTTTCCTTGAAGGTCCCCTGCAACGCAGGAAAATAGTATATTCACCAACTAAGAAAACGAATGAACGAAAATTTGCTCTTCATATTTGTAACTTTTCATGAACAAAAACAGATTGATAAAGACAAAACCATTGTTTTATTCAATTTTAAGAAATTAGCTTCAATATCACACAAAAAGCCTTCTTTAAACTATTTAAATAAGAACTCGTATTGCAAAAAAAATGTTAAACAAATTTAAAAAAAAAAATTTTTAATACAAAAGTGAGAAATATACAACATAATCTTGCCCATTTACTATTAGACAAATAAATAACACTTCTTGTGTCAAAAACATGCACAAATATTTGAGCTGCAAAGCCTTTGTATGTAGGCATGTAGTACATATTAACGTATGTGTGTGTGCACTTCAATCAGTTGGCGTCGGTTAGAAGTCTCCAAAAGTCAAGGTTTTCTTACCACATATTTTTGTTAAATTTTATTGTTAACTGTTTTTTTTACTACTTTTTACACGTTAGTTTTCCCAAAAACATGTGCAATGTACACACACACATATGTGTATGTATGTACACGTATGACTATTTCATCAGCACTGACCAAAATTTTAAAAAGCAAATCGTGTCATAAAGTCAATAAGGCAGTAAAAAGTTTGTATGTAAATACATACATACATACATATGTGCATACTAAACTTCAGTGGGCAAAACAAAAAAAGCGGTACATGTGATGAGAGTTCGAGAGTTCGGAAGAGAGAAACTATCAGCAGCTTTGAAGATGTGCCAAGGAGAGAGAGAGAGTGAGAGAGAGACGGCAATAGCGAGTGATGTATGTACATATGTATAAGTGTTTGAAATGATTTTCACTTTCGTTTGCAATGTTACACATTTTACGGTTAAAATGCATGATGCTAATTGAACGTAGTGAACTTAATGCATATGTGTGCGTATGCATGTGTGTATACTTGTGCATTTATTTATGTTAAAATCTTCCTAAAGAAGTTTTTAAACAAAAAAGCAATAAAAAATTTCTGAAATACAATATTTTGTTTTTTAATATACATATATATATTTGTGCAAATAAACACATATAAAAACGCGCTGCTGCTGCTGTTATCTATTCCTAATACCACCCACGACCTTCACAGTTTACACCGATAAGAAAGCGCAACAAAATAAATAAATAAAAAAAGTAAAAAACTTTTTTTTTCGATTTTTATCTTTATTCGAGTTTTGAGCGGCTTAACATTTCAGCTTCACCCATTTTTTATTATATTCATTCACTTCATTGCATTGAAATTCAAATGTCAAAGTTTCTGTTTGTTTTCTTCTTCTTCTTTTACTTCTCTATGCTTTAGCCGAAAATATTGCTGAACCAGCTGCGCAACGGCGCATAACAAGTGGGCTTGGTTATCCACAATGTGTCCACGGTCAAGCGTAGAGCATCCATTGTTGAGTAACTACAGCGATCTCGCACCGCTGCCGTCGGCGCCACGCCATTGCGATCCAAATCGTCCGGTTCATCGTTGGCACGTAGATGCCCCAACGCATCGTCAGCATCGAAGTAGTAGTACTCTTTGCGTGTAGAATTTGTCTCCACCACAGTCATTGGTTGATGTGTACTGGCGGCTGTGATATCGTTCGAAGTGCGTGCATGGCGATAGAAAGGACTGAGTGCTGGCACAAACGGCGGTGGGAAACCGTTGAGTGGACCGGCGTACGGCGGTGGCGCTGTGGGCAGCCACAATTGCTGTCGCTGCTGCAGCTGTTGTTGTTGTTGTTGTTGTTGTTGCGCCACCAAGTAGGGATTTAAATTCGGAGCTTGCAACGTCCGGTAAGGTATTTGGCTTATCGGTATATTTGTTTGTAGCGGCTGCGCCAAATAAGTCGGCTGCTGATATCCGGGCAATTGTTGTTGATTTAAAAATCCTTGTCGCGTGGGATTGTACACATTCGGGTTGGCTATCGTGTTTAGTAGACCCACGCCCGCCAACCCTGGTTGGGCGACATTCGCCGGCATATCATGTGCTGGCCGTTGCTGCTGTACAAAAGCAGTCTCCTGACACTCTTCCTGATAGATCTCTAGTAAGAAACCACTCGACGGTACGCCGGAGTAGCCCATACGCATGCGTATCTGCTTAGCGCCCAAGCCCCATGTACTTGTGTACACATGTCCCGTGCGACAGCCGCAAAAGCGTTCACCATCAATCTCAATAAAGTCCTCAGTGCATATATCTCGCGTCGTGCTGATGGCCACGTTAACATTCCCTTGCACAGCGCCAGTGCCCACATAGGTCTGACCGAAATCAAAGAATTTGAATTCGATGCGTAGACGACAAATATTATCCGCATTTTTCTCTAAGCCAAATTTACAATCACGCTGTTGCGTGGGTAGCAGTGAAGTGAAGGCAGTGCGTGGAAAGCCCGGGCTGGAGAGGTAGAAACGTTTTTGATGAAAGGATGAGGTGCAACATTGCTGAGTGGTTGTTGTTGAGATAGCGACGCCTTGATTATTACCAAGCGGTAGACTACTATCCTGTGTGACAGGATATTGTGGAGCCACAATTTGTGCGCCACCGAGCTGTGCACCGACAGCTGGTAGTGCCGTGGACTGAAAACCAGTGAGTGGCGTTCCGGGCAATGGTGGCCCCGCGAATTGTTGACGCGGTTGTGGATCGCTTACGCTCTTCACTAAAGAGTCAGTCTTTAAGTGTTTACTTTTTATATCCGTTTGCAAATCACTGACATACTGATCCGCGCTTAGAGGCTCCTGTGCATCATTACTTCTATAACCTACTACTGGGTAGCCACCTAAAGGTGGTGGATATGCAATCACATTCGCTGGCTCCGGTCCACATGGTTTATTGACACCACCAGCTAGATTCAACCGTTGATTTGGCGTGTACAAATCACCAAACGCCGGCGGTGGTGGCACTGGCAAATTCCAGCCAAATAACGGCGCTGTGGGATATGGTACGTGCTGTTCAGTTTGCGACCAATTGCGAAAAAGTTGTGTCAAGTTGTCTTTTGGCGGCTGGAAATCGGCTGAAGGTGCTAAAATTTGCTCCGTATCCTCGTCAATCGAGTTCTGTGTTTCGAGCAAGAAATCCTCGCGCTCGCAAGCCAAACGAGTAATTAGTAATTTAAAACCACGTGCAGTCGTCCACGGCGAGTCGTCGGACACAAAACGCAAACGTAGTATACCGCCCGGTGTGTGATACTTTTTAATGCCAATCACTTGACCACACAACAGATCCATATCATCCCCATCATTCTCAACGCCAATGGCTAAATAATCCTTTGAACAATTGTCGGACGACTCCAAGTGGAAATCTAGAAATTGTATATGAAACTTCGTTGGACAGCGATAGGGCGAACGTATCACGTAGTCCCAGCAGGTACTCGTCGGATAGTTATTTGGATAGTTCGGTGACTCTATAACGCTCTGCCGCGTCTTATATACGCCCGAGAGACCGCACTTGGGCAACTCGTCGTGCGTCGCACACGAGCTCAGGCAAGCCAATCCGAGTAGCAGCGTTAGGCTATGAACGCCAAGGACATTATGCGTTTTGATTAGATTGAAAAACATTTTGAGGATGCAAAATTAGGAAACACCCTCGCCACGCGGAAATCGTACCGTTTTAAATGCGTACTCGCGCGCAACTGAGTCGTTACGAGGCACCCGCCTAAGCGATTGCCGGCAACGAAACTCATCTTCGAAAACAAATTGCTTTTTCTTCTTTTTTGCTGAAACTTTTGTGTAAACAACGGCGCTCAAACGCTTAAACGCTTGAGTTGAGCTTGAATGTATGAATTGTCGCAGTGTGCTCGGCGTGTTGTTGTTGCAGGTGTGAAGAAGCGCAAAGGTGCGAAACGCCGCATGAAACTAAATGTTTGATTTTTTTCGACAACAACAACAACAACAACAGCGGCAGTTCAAATAGGCAAACAAAAAAGTTTAGTTTCAACAATTTGTTCGTTTGTTTTATATTTTTTTGTTTTAATTTTTTTTTTTTATATTCACTTATTTTCATTTTTTATCATCTTCTTGGATGGATTCAAAAAAAAAAATTTTGAAATTCATTTTAAATTTTTATTTTTATTTTTTTCAATTTTTGTTAGTTTCTCTTTTCCAAGCCACAACAAAAGCATTCTTTTCATTTCGCAGTATAAGGTATGTATCAGTTGAGTTTAAAAATGAAATTAAAACTAAATTACAACAACGTTGTAGGTGTTACAGTCTTGCCATGTAATGAAATGAAATAAGCTAGTCAAGTGAAATTGTCGCGCCTTTTGCCAACCCGAATGTTTCCGGTCAATTAGACTGAGTCGTTTATTTACTCACAGTAAATATTGCGGCGTATATAATACATATGTACAAATCTACGTTCATCAATATGTACATTCTTGTAAATTTTAAAGATACATAAAAAATAAGTTTATGTGATTTTTGCGAAATATCTGCACTGTAAATGTAATATCACTTGGTTTTATCCTCTCTTTCTGTTTCCTTTTAAAGCAGCAAAGTCAAAAATGTTCCCAAAAACAATTTTTTTTATCTTCATCTACTCATTGAGAAGCGAGAGCAATGCTCACGCAATTATAGCCGAATTCACAATAGTACTCTAATCGTTAGATCTTCTCGCTTTTCTATCCTTCTGACGGAGCTGTGGCCATCCTGTTTCTCAAATTCCAATGGCGGGTACTGCATCGAATGCTTTCGAAGCTGGAGTACTTTTTTAAATTCAAACGACATGGTCCAGCCAGCGTAACCATTGTCTCTTGATTCGCTGAACTTTGACAATGTCGCCATCGGCTGCGGTATTCAGCGTTCCCAACTCGTAGGGAGTTTGGTTTTTGTTCGTCGAGTCAGTTGCCTAATCATTCCAAAGTACCAGCTGCTGAAAAGAGTGATTCTGCGTTGGATTTCCAAACTGACATTGTTGTTGATGTTAATACTGATTCCAAGATCGACGAAGTTATCTCCGACTTCAAAGTTATGATTGTCAACAGTGACGTGGGAGCCAAGTCGCGAATACGAATACTGCTTATTTGATGACAGGTGATATTTCGTATTGTCCTCGTTCACTACCAGACTCATAGCTATTACTATTACTTATATTTCGGGATTTGGCATCAGATTTGGAATCAGGCAACTGGCAGCTTTACCATAAAGTTTAACATCTATGAAATTATTCGTTCTCAGACCGTTTTTACATACGAGCGCTGTTTGAGTTATTTACAGTGAATTAAATTATTCGTCTCTGCCAAAAAGATGGTTTAACTCTGCAACAGTGCAACGATTAAATTAATTAAAATTTTAGGGATGGAACTGCAACAAAGATCGGTATTCATCGATGGTATGGTGAAGTCGATCGAGGCTCCAGATCCCACCAAAACGAATTTTGTGAAGGTCGTGTCCAGAATCAGCATTGACGATGTGCGCAAGCTGATCATGTGAGCCATTGTGAGCTTAAGGTGGGAAGCTGGTCTAAAATTTAAAAAAAAAAAACCAAAAAAAAATTTTGTCTTAAATGGTGCTTTAGGGTCTTAAAAATAACATACCAAAAGATGGATTCCGGTAAAAATTTCTAAATGATGATTACGAAATTTTAACAGTACATTCGAAATAACGTTCTCCGAAGACGATGACGAAAATTTTTTTTATATTACATAGTTTTTTTTAATCAACAATTTTATATAGTTTTTAATAGTGAAAAAAAATATTGAAAATACCGGAAATACGTGTTTTGCTGTTGTTATATAGAGACTAAAAAAAATTTATGTTTTGATCCAGGATAAAAATTAAGGAGCTTACATCTTCGGTCATGGAGTCATTAGAAAAGAATGTGTCTTCGGAGAAATGCTTAACAGCGGCCATTTTGAAATTATTTCACTCGAAAACTTTTGTATTTGTACCATGAAACCTATATTATTAAACCTGTTTCACAAAATATTAATTTTTTTGATCATTTTTTGTATAAAAGTACAAAGTGTCAGGAATATTATCCCCAAATTTCAGGTCGATCGAGACGAAACTGTAGAAATTAGAGAGTTTTATAACCCGCCGTCTTCGTCATGACTTGACCGATGGCGACACTTTAAATGCGGTACTCTTAAAACGACCTTATCGAAATCGGTAAACAAAACTTCCCAACAACTATTGAAGCGATCGAGTTCAAATTTGCCACACTTCTTTTAAACACGTTTTTGTAGTCCCTGAACGAAGGATTTATTTTATCTTTGATTTGAACTCATGGCCAAATTTAAGGCAAAAAATTACGTTTTTTATAAAAACGTTGCAAAAAATTCAATTAAATTTTCTTCGTTCAGGAATACGGAAAATTCACCTACTTTAAGAAAAAATTTTGATTTTTGATTTCAGTTGAACATCGAAAAAGTTATCATGACTAATGCGAAAGCACTTTCTTGTCGAGGGTCTGCTTCACGACACTGCCAACGCCTTAACTTATACAATTTTTCATTCAAATTTTCATCAAATGTTGTCCACATATTGAACTTTTACATGTAAACAAAATAAATTGTATACTTCATTTAGTATCTTTTAAAAAAATTAGCGAAAATAAGCTTTTTTTTTGGCCTTCAAGACCTATGTAACCCCTTAAGACAACTATAGGCAGTACGAAGACCAACATACATTCAATATTGCAAGAACATTGGACTGTAAAAAAAAATTCCTTCATTTTTGAACGCACACAATTTGTCAATCGCTCTTAAATTTGTCAAGAAAATTGATAAAAAAAAATACGAAACCGGTGGTTCGAAATAAGTCTATGGTATCTTGAGAGATGATGAAACGTGAATTTATGCATATGATTCTGAAAGTAAACAGCGGTCAGCAGAATGGGTGTTCCAAGAACAGCCGAAGCCTACAAGATTTTTACACGCCCGAAGCACTTCCAGGCAATTGGTTGGCAATGTTTTTGGGAAAAACTGGACATGTCGCACACGTAACACTAGCACAAAGCACAACAGTAAATTCTGAGTTTTTTTTTCCTCAGTTGTCCTTCAGGAAATTCGGAAATGGAAACACAAATCGACTGAAACAACTCTATTTTTGAGCATTAAAAACATCGATTTGATTAGTCATCCACCGTATAGTATTTACTTGACACCGAATGACTTTTATTATTTTTAAAAATAAACGAGGAGGTCAGCGTCTTTCGACACCAGTTGAGGCGGTTGATGCGTTCAGAATACATGTTTTAGCGATAACTCAACCCGAGTGAAAGTGTAAAAGCCTTAATGGTGAATATTTTAAAAAATTAAAAAAAAATGATTTTCGATTATTAATATTAATATATTACATGACATTTATTATTTCAAATTATTTATAAATAAAGAAAATATTTCATCAATAAAAATCTACATATATCCATTCTATAATATTTGAAAGGAAAACACTGTTATTAAATATTATTTTTTTTTTTTGCTCACATGTATGCCACTGCATTATTTGCTTGAAATTTCACCTTTTAGTAAGCAAAATTATTTTTAAATTTTTTTTAACCACACTCATACGATGCTCACACCCACACCCCTCACTATGCAAATTGTAAGCAGCAAAAAGCATAAATGGCAATATTGCAGAGTAAATATATGTAGAAAAATTTGCGATAAATCAAATATTGCTCAATTATGTGCAAATATCTTAAAAAATACATACCAGTATGCCAAGGGATGGGTTGAAAAAACTAAAGAGAAAACAGCGCTGTTATGTGGTGGCAGTAAAAACGCTTTTACGAAAAATTTATAACCGATTTAATGTTTATGTAAGCTTCTAGATCCACTTTCACGCCAACATTCGTATGCTTGCAAATTTCTTTACACATTTTTTATATACATGTGTATGTATGTATGTATTTTCACACATGGACACCTTGTACAGTTAATTTCATTGTTTATGGCGTTTATGGCGTTTATGTTGGCCAAAGCAATAACAATGCCGCACATGATCACAATAGAGGCTGCGTAAAGTAAGCATCGCACACACAAATACCCATACACGCGTGGTGCAAAGTAATAGCTTTGTGTAGGCTATGCGTGAGTTGATTCTTTCAACGAATTTTTAGAGGAAACGTAAATTCTCAGTTACATACATATAGTTAAGGGTTTTTTTTTTTGAGAAGTGATTTTCAAGAAGAAATAAAACACATAAAATTTAATATTATGGCCAAGAGCTTAGGTTTATGCTAAAATTACAGTTTTGTCTCTATGTTTTAAAAATGATTTCGAACAAATTCCAGACGAAAGGCCCAATTTTTCATCAGAAACGGTGACGGTACGAGTATGTCAACAACACCGTACCGAATATTCTCTTGCAAGGCGTTATTCCTCTCGGGCTTATCTGCGTAGACAAAGAGCTTCGCAAAACTCCATTACCAAAAAAAGTCCAGCTGTGGTAAACCGTGCAATAATGCGCTCACCAAAAGTTTCATTCTATAAATGCATTGCTTTGTTGGCTGTATTGCTTGTAACGCGGTCTTGTTAGTACCAAAGGTCGTCCACATGAACATCCTCGAATAGAGGCACGAAAGTCATTAATCAGAGCTCTGTAGCGATCCCCATTCACTGCAACCTTATGACCGCCTTAACTTTTGCAGAAATATGGATCAATGATGCGCTCTGTCCATAGAGCTTACCAAAAAGTGACTTT